ACATCTATCCTCTATCTGTCTGTTGTTATCTCCAGTTTTAAGTGTGATCATGTATTTCTGTAACGTGGAGATCAATCTTGTAACCATTGTGTTATCTTGTTTGGATATAAATAAACGCCACGCTGCCTGACAAGGGTTATACGCTTCACCAAAACTTCTGATTTCCTTGTAAAGTTACACTAGCTTCTTGTGAGAATGTATCATGTCTGGAAGATAACCGTGATCTTGTAATTCTTCTTGCTGCAGAGTGATAGATGCATATGAATGTGCTCATCATATTGCAGAATTAATTTCTTACCTCTTTTTACCGGAATATTGCATGTTTGTGTACTCCCTGCCCGACAGTGCCATTTTTGTATCCTGTCCTACCACGAGGTCATGGCCAATTTTCGTTTCACTAGAAAAACTGTACTTCCTCTGTTTACAAATATAAGTCCTTTTAGAAATTTCAATAATCTCTACATATGGATGTATGTAGACATATTTAGAGTGTAGATTTATTTATTTTGCTCTGTATGTAGTCTATATTGAAATATCTAAAAAGACCTATATTTAGGAACGAAGGGGAGTATCTGTTCTAAAAGTTATTTTAGTACATGATATCTAGTAGTTTTTTCCGGAGATGTTACTCTAGTAATATTGTAGTTCTGCCCGGAAACATATCTTTGTATTTTGAATAATTTTTTACAAATCTTTCGACTGTCTTTTTTTTAGAAACGCCTCTAACTTTATTGATATTCATAACAATTACAGGTACATTGATTTGGACCTAAGATCCAAGCAAATACAAAGTAACTCCTATGACTAAAAATTACAATCAAATCTCTTGTAAACACCTTCGCGGTATCAATCTTTGCTCGAAGAAGACTTAGGTAAAGATGTTGCAATTAGACTGGAGCAACGATGTTGTCAATCTCTCACCCGCACGAACATTACTAATAATAAATTTTGAAAGCGGCTTGAGTCGTGAATACATTTTCAATACCCAGTGGATTTTTTTGTCCCCTATTTCCCAGTGAATTTGAAGCAAGAAAGTAAACAAAGTAAAGGTCTGGGCCGGCCCAGCGTTTGCCATTGCGAAGCGGCAAACCCTATTGGGAGCTCATTTCGTCATTTTGTCAGCAAAACGCACAGGGTAGGAACCAAAGGATTCCATAATGGGCCGGCCCATTTAGCGGTAGCAGTGTAAAAAACGTTCTGGTTTCCGGAACCTTCTATAGGGTTGCTGATCAGTTCACATATGGTACGGTTTTTTTCATTATCTTTTATTTTTTGTTTTCTTTTCCAGAAAAGTTCCCTTTTTATAAAAATGTTTGGAAACTGTAAAAAGGAATAACTATTATCAAACATGTTGGAATTTCCATAAAATAAATGTTCCAGTTTTAAAAAACTGTCCACAAATCAAATAATGTTTGATTTTTCAAAAGAATGTTCAAGAATTCCAGAAATGTCCCCGTTTAAAAAAATCTCACAATTTAAAAAATGTTTGTGTCTCTCAATTGTTTTTGCGAAATTCTAAAAAATGTTCATTTAAAAAATTTGCTCTAATAAGTTTCTCGCAATTTCAAAAAATGTTTGTGCTTCTAATTGAATGACCAAAAAGACATCCAGTCGCTACAGTGCACCCCCACTTGGTACGGTATCGGGCTTGCTTTTATTTGAGTGGCAGTGTCGGCTTGCTACAGTCGTGTTCGTGTAGTAGGAACAGATGGGCCAGCCCAGTCGCTCGCGCCCGTGCGTCGCGTCGCTACACCTCGGTGAGGCTCCGGAGGGCGGAGGCAGGTGGCGGCCGAGGAACTATTTTGTACTCCGGGAAACTATCTAGTGCTCCTAGGCCTAGGGTGCTCCCGGTGGTCCGATGCGAAAATCATTTTTTTAAAATGTTCAAAAAATTCTGAAAAAAATGCAGCACATCGACGGAACATCGATGTCTCTTGTCACAAAATTTCAAATCAAAATTGAAAACATTGCTCGAGATACAAAAATGACAAATTTGACATCAATATGATAATGGGCCAAAACTAAAGCCCAACTTATGTTATGTACAAAAATTTGTCATTTTTGTATCTCGAGCAATGTTTCGAATTTTGATTTGAAATTTTGTGACAAGAGACATCGATGTTCCATCGATGTGCTGCATTTTTTTCAGAATTTTTTGAACATTTTAAAATGTTTTTCGGACATTTGGAGCACCGGGAGCACCCCAAGCCTGGGAGCACTAGATACTTTCCCTTTGTACTCCCACCCCTAGGGTGCTCCCGGTGCTCCAAACTCAGTAGCACATTTTGAAATGTTTAAAAAATTATGAAAAAAATCCAGCAAATTGACACAACATTGTTGTATGTTGTGAGAAAAATTCAAATCAAAATTCAAAACATTGCCCGAGATAAAAAATGACAAAATGGTCATCAATGTGATAATGGGCCTAATCTAAACCCTACTTATCTTGTTTACTATTTACTGTCAAATTTGTCATTATGTTTCTCAAGCTATGTTTCGAATTTTGATTTCATATTTTTTTTGTAAACGTACTTTGATGTTGTGTTAATGTGCTGGATTTTTTTCAATATTTTTCAAACATTTGAAAATGTGCTACCGACTTTTGGAGCACCGGGAGCACTCTAGGGTGAGAGTACCAGATATTTCCCCGGTGGCGGCCGTGCCGCCGGGTGTCGCTCTCCCGCCCTCCTTGCTGAACCTCTCGCTGGTTCGCCCACTCTCACTCTACATCCTCCCCTACCCGTGAGCGCACCGGCGGCTAGCTAGGCGCACTCCGTGGCCGCGGGGTTCCTCTCCTAGGTTAGGCGCGGCCGCTGTCTCTGTTTCCGGTGTCGTTGCCCTAGGCAGGGCAGTGCGAGGAGAAGCAGGTCGCTGTTTGGGCTCGGTTGCTGCTGCTTTCCAAGATCCCTGTCGCTCACAGGTACTCCTTCTAGTGATCTTAACACTTATATTTCTTTGCTTAGTATGATGCCTGACTGACAATTTAAAGACAACTATCCATCTCATCAGTCTGCTGTTATCTGATTATTATGTGTAGATGGCATCTGTATTAACAAGAGTTTACAGATAACAGCAGACGGAGTAGTATATAGCAAGACTGCAAGGGTCACGATTCGACGCAACCCGTCTTGCACGTATGATGGAAGTCTTGCGTCATTGGAGCTTTCCTTTCTAAGCCATTGCATCATCTTGAGCGAAGACCGGCACAAAACTTGAATTGATACGGCTTCCGACAAATCCGTCACTACACTTTTTCTGAACCTGTTACCTCTGTTTTCATTTGGTTATTCACTCTATAAAGCCTAGCGGCGCTCTCCTGCCTGTTCTCTCAAAATAGAAGAAGAGAAACAAGTACACTGCTGTGCTTCGACTTGGACAAATGGCTTCAATCGGTTGGGTGCTGCTATTCTCTCTTGCAATTGTTTCGGCACTAGCCACCTCCGGCGCCCACAGTGATGGTAATAACCTCACTCTCCGATACCATCCGGACCAGGCTGCAAGCCTCCTCCAGCTAAAGTGATCCTTCTCCTTCTTCCGCTACCCCAGCGCCCTCGACTCATGGCAGGATGGCACTGACTGCTGTCTCTGGGAAGATGTTGGCTGCAGCAACTCCTCTGGCTATGTCACTGCTCTAGAGCTTAGCGGCCGTGGCTTGCACAGTCAAGGCCTTGACCCTGGAATCTTCAACCTCAGCTCGCTCCAACTACTCGACCTTGTTAGAGTTGTGTCGAATATAATGTAGTACAAGGTAGGTTACAGTTAAACTTGTAGTTGTATTATGTTTAGATAGGATATGGAGTCGTGTCCTAATAGCGAGGAAAGACCAACGATGTAACCTATGCCAACATAATAGCACAGAAACGTAGGGGAAGCCGACGGCATGTGCCGGTGTCCAGGGCGACCGGTGTGCGGTATTGTAGCGGTGTCATGGGAAGGAGCGCCCATAGTCAGGCCCTAGGGTTGTAGCCATATCGATGAACCTCGTTAACAAATCTCGATGTCATGCTCATGTGATTGCTTGCTCCTCGAATGATCAACGGTATGCCTCGGCTTTATTCTAACAACTGGTATCATGAGCTAGGTTGTTGAGAAACCGTGGATTATTGATTCAGAGAAAGTATCAAGTTTGAGATGCAGCCGGTTACGGTGTGGTTCTCGGCAAGATTGAAGAAAGCCTATCAGTGGAAGGCACGT